TAGAGACAGGGTTTCACCGTGTTAGCCAGGATGGTCTCGATCTCCTGACCTCGTGATCCACCCGCCTCGGCCTCCCAAAGTGCTGGAATTATAGGCGTGAGCCACCGCGCCCAGCGTGGCCCCTACATTTTCTTAGAGATGTTATGAACAGCAGGTTAACTAAAATGCAAACAGCCTCTTCCAGGCACCTAGGAATGGTTTAGTCTCTTTAGTGCTCTTATTTGCAAAAAACAATTAACAAAGATTATCAGCATTTCTATAAAACTTATTATGTGCCAGAATTAAGTCATTTACTCATCACAGCAACCTCCCGAGCGCTGACAAAATAGGGACACTGAGGCACAAGAGGTGAAGGCAGGTTTTGAACCTAATCAGTCGGGCTCCAGAGTTCCATCTCCCTAACCCTTAGAGGATGTCACCTCTCAGGCTTCAATCTCACACAGCGCTACAGCAGGGGAAACTGTCATCATCCCCCCCTTTGACAGGTGGAGAAAAGGAGGCTGTAGAAATCCAGCACTTTTCCAACGGTACAAGCCCAAAGTCATCCTGACTCCTGAACTCCCGCTCTTCATCCCTCTGCCACTCAGTTCACCATTACAGTACTCGCTCACCTGGGCGCGGTGGCGAAAACATCGGGGTGCAGGTCGGCCAGGCCCACGCGCTCCTGCTCGAATCCTCGCAGGGACTCGACCCAGGCCTGCACCGGGCGTCGATGAGCGGGTACCGGGAGCTCGACTTTGCGCAGCACGGGCTCCAGGAGACCTGGAGCGATGGCGGGGGTCAGGGGTTAGGGTCAAGGGTCAGACCTCTCTGTCGCTGCCCCTCCTGGAGCCACCCCGGTTGCCTTACCCTCGCTCGCCACCGCCACCTGCTCCGGGTTCTCGGTCGGACGCGCTGCCTCTTCCGCCAGCGAACTCAGGCCCTGCAAGGGGTGGGCGAAAGTGAGAGACGACCCCTGGACACTCCCAAATTTCATCCTTCGACCACGCCTCCAGCCCCTGGCCTCACCCGGCAGCCTGTAGGCCGAAGCCAGGCGCGCGCCCCGGCCCGGACCAACTGCAGCATCGCCTCGCAGCCTCCCACGCCGCGGGAGGTCAAGGCCACTGGAGCTTCGCGCGGCGCCGATGGATGACGTCACGCACGCGACGCCGTCTGATCCGCCGCGACTCACCCCTGGAAAGCTGAGTGTGCAAAACCGAAGATGGAGGGGGTCCGACCTGGCGTGCCCAGACCTCCACCCCAGGACTAATCCCCAGACCCAATTTTCACTCCCGCCTCAAGGACCCTCCACAACATTAGGTAACCAGACCTCACAGCGAGAAGCCCCAGCTTCTGTAGGCCTCGCCTACTTTGGGTCCCGCCTCCTACGAGCGGTGCAGGAACTCAGCCAATGAGACCTCTCTGGCCCAATTCAGCCAATGACTGCTAAGCCTGAAGGAGCGGCCCCCGCCCATAAGTGGGCAGTTCTGGAGCGAGCAACTAAAGAATACAACCAATAACGCTTAAGCTTTTACTGGTGGTCACGCCCACCGGGCCACGCCTTCATTCCACCTCCAAGGCTCTTGGAGATGGTTTTTCTTTATCCAGTTAATGTCGTTTGTTTTTTTATTTGTTTAAAGGAAGGGCCTTATTGCCCACAGAAATCCTTCAGGATTGGGCCTGCCAGACCATGCCTCCCAGTTTAGATTCCCCACGGCATGGCTATGTCCCCCCGAAACCCCTCAGATTAGTTATTTGTGTCCCCTACCCCCTAGACCAGGGTCCTGTACACTCTCAGACTTTCCAGGGCTCTCCAAGGACAGAACAAAAGTGGGGAGTCCACAGATCCTGGACTGCCTCCCTTGTCACCCCCTAACAAATCCGAATGCTCATTTTTAGTTTCTTTGTTTTGGTTTTTAGAGACAAGGTCTTGCTCTGTCGCCCAGGTTGGAGTGCAAAGGGCGAGAACATGGCTCACTGCAGCCTCGACCTGCAGAGCTCAAGGGATCCTCCTGCCTCAGTCTCCCGAGTAGCTGGTCTACAGGTGCGCACGCCCGGCTAATTTTTGTACTGTATTTTTTTTATTTTGTATTTGTATTTTGAGACGGAGTATCGCTCTGCCGCCCAGGACGGAGTGCAGTGGTGCGATCTCGGCCTCCCGGGTTCAAGCGATTCCCTGCCTCAGCTTACCGAGTAGCTGAGACTACGGGCGCCCGTCACCACGCCCGGCTAATTTTTTGTATTTTTAGTAGAGACGGGGTTTCACCGTGTTAGCCACGATGGTTTCATTCTCCTGACCTCATGATCCGCCCGCCTCGGCCTCCCAAAGTGCTGGGATTACAGGCATCAGCCACTACGCCCGGCCCTAATTTTCGTATTTTTATTAGAGACAGGGTTGCACCATGTTGGCCAGGCCAGTCTTGAACTGCTGACCTCAGGTGATCCACCCACCTCGGCCTCCCAAAGTGCTGGGATTACAGGCCTGAGCCACCGCGCCCGGCCTAATTTGTGTGTGTATGTGTGTGTGTGTTTTTTGTTTTTTTGTTTTTTGTAGAGATGGCGGGGGGTGGGTCTCCCAATGTTGCCCAGACTGGTCTTGAACTGGGCTCAAGCAATTCTCCCGCATTGGTCCCCCAAAGTGCTGGGATTACAGGCATGAGCTACTACCGTGGCCCACCCATTTTCAGGTCCTTTTTTTTTTTTTTTTTTGA